TTCTTTTTCCGTACTTACTTTTTGTTCCTCCTTTTCTGATACTTTGTCACCATATCCTGCAGACTGTCCCCAATATGAAAAAAGGGGGAAAAGACAAAAATAAAAGTGAGAGACACAATCAACTATTAGGTAATAGTTGAAGTGCAGTGATGTGGGATTTCCGGCAGACTCGATACCTGTTTTTGTTCACCTTCAGAAAGGGGATCGAGTGTGCGTTGGTTTTGCGTGATTACCAAACTATATAACTATAACTATATATATATATAGAATAAACGAGATATCGTCTTTCCAATATGGATAACTATATAACAAGACGTGGCGCTGAAGGAGTTTGAGACAGTATTGGGGAGAATACATCAGCAATCTGCCAGAAGGAAAGGCTGCACTAAAGAGATGACATCAGGTGAAAGTGAGCATGTGCAAGACTTTGTTGTACTGGTGGTACACACACAAAGCAAAACCTGTTGTAGCTCTCATGGCTTTGTAGACCATTGGTTCCCAAAGACTGGGTCGTGACCCTCAGGTGGGTCGCAAGAGTTTTTTTTTTGGGTCGTCTCGCATAATGTCTATTGACTTGGGTTGCAAAGGATTGTGACTTTTAAAATATGGATCCCCTGAAAAAAAGTTTAGGAAACACTGATGCAGACCATAAGTTAATATGAGATCGAAACCCACATCATTAGGTGGATTAGCGTGTCTGAGCAGAAAATACCGTATTAAATGCCAGTGTGAAAACGGATAATTGTTTGCACCAGCACTGAAAAATCTACAGAAATCCACGAAAGGTTCCAGACGTTAATGAACATGTAAAACAGTTGAGTACCTGTTGATTAAGTCATCGTTGTCATCACTCTCCATCTCATCCTCAATGGCGGCCTGCAGGTCACCTATCCTTTTGAAGGCTAGTTTGAGGTCTTCTTGTAAGCTTTGATTTGCTGCCTCCAAGCTCTCGATGTCCATTTCCTATTAATTGGATCACAGAGCAGAACTGGCCGTTAGCTATTGCGAAGCACCATGAGTAGCTCGAAGTCTCGCGGACTGGTAATCACTGAGGTTGATTACCAGTTCGTGCTTCTTCCGGCTGGCCTCGCCTTCCTTCTTGGACAATTCTGCCATTTCTTCTTTCAAGTCCCTTATTTGCCTCTGCATTCGTTTATTCTGCTCATTCTCCCTGTTCCCTGCAACAATATGTTGGTCTCTCTCCTCCATCATTTTTTCCAGATTATCTTTGTGGCGACTCACAAGGCCCTGGGAACAAAAAAAAAATCATGACTTCGGTTACAAGGAAAGAGATATTCTAAAAAAAATGTATTGGTGATTTCCTTTCTCGGCCTCAACCGCTGATACCACAGTAACTCAGCTTCTCAAATGTTTAAATTTTGGATATACTTCTGGATATACTTCTCTGTTTTGTCATAAACTTGTATTGCAAAATCTTTGCAAAAAAAAGAAATTCTTGATGGATGTTGATCTTTATCAGCACCTCAGCAATAACAAGCTAAAGACCCTCAACCAGCGTAATTTCTGGACTATAAGTCACACTTTTTTTCCATCCTTTTTTTAAACACTGACAGCCACTAGAGGGCACTCTAGGCTTGTGTGCCAGTATCTGCTACTCCTGTACCACTGAAGCTGTACATGTTCGTTATTTCCATACTGACACCCGCTAGAGGGCACTGGTGTGACTGATACGCCAGAGTGACTTATATATGTTTTTTTTTCTTCTTTATTATTTTTTTGACTGGTGAGACTTATACTCCGGAGCAACATATAGTCCGGAAGATATGGTATATCCTCACTTTGTCTAAGGCTTCACTAAGCACACCTTTTGAATTTTTGTCAACTCACTTCCAAGCGTTTGATCTGTGTCCGTTCATACTCCAGCTTTGTCTCAAGCTCGCGGATCTTGGCCTCCTGGCGGCTCACGAGGGACTTTTCGACCATGGACTGTTCTTGAAACTCTAACTGACTCTGCAGTGAGTGGAGCTGTGAGACGGACAAAGGCAAAAACAAACACTCAATCAGTACCATAGATGTAACTACTAAATAATACATGTTTTTAAAAGTTCCCGGGGCCACTTAAGATGACTCAGTGGGCCTTATTTGTCCCCCAGGCCTTGAGTTTGACATACGAAGCAAGCATCCTCAAAATTAACATTTTCAGGGTTTACACAGTAATTTAGGGTCTAGGTAGTATATAATTTTAAGGGATTTCCTTTTACCTTTTCTTGGAACTCCTGCCTTTCCTTTGCGGCCTCCTCCAGCTGCGTCTGCAGTTCAGTGATCTGACTCAGGTCTCTAGCAGACTATTGGGAACCAAACACACCAACAAATACAAACATGAAGTCAGTAGATAATCAAAAACCTTCATGAACATGTCTTAGTTTGGTAAGGCTTTTTTTGGCTCTCACAAATTAATGTATACGAACAAAAGAACGTTTTACATAAAGCGCGGGTCACCGACTATATTTTTGTGAGACAGTGAAATTACACCTAGAACATTTTAAATAAATACTTGCTACTTGAACCAAATGGATGAATTACCTGGGCAACCGCAGCCTTGTGTTTTTTCATCAGCTCATTCACGTCTTCCTGCTCCTCCTCCATACGACACTGCAGGTCATTCTTTTCTCTTTGCAGCCGACTGACCTGCTCCTCCAACTGACGGGACAGAGTGAGGGAGGGCGTGCATTCAAGTGTGAAGTGAGAAGACACTTTCATTATCTACTGACAAAAGGCCTTTGGCTGGAAAAGCTGTGTCAGTACTGAAAACACAATCTGGACAGACTCCCAGCTGTAGAATGAAACCAACTGATTGACTCATTTCCACCAGGAAGTGACAGTCAGTGATGTGACTTGTTTAAATCCAGTACCTGTAATGTAAAGCGGTTGGAGTGCTAACTATAACCACGGACCGCTTACTAGTTCTCATTCAATATCATTCTGCTTACAAAAAATAATTCCACAAATCAACAAAGAATTTCCACGTATCCATGCTGTAAAATTCATTGGCTTCAATCGTCCAAAAACTCACCGACATCTTGGCTTTAACTATGTCGTCGATTTGGACGTGCAGGTCCTCGATTTCAACCCCCTTCCGAGCCTTCACCGCTGCAGCGCAGGTGAACTCTGACTCCTCCAGCTGTGAGGAAAAAGTAGGAGAAATGGGGTGACAAAAGTAGGGGTTAGGGTCAGTGTTGGGGTCAGTCTACATCACAGTGATTCCATGGTACTGCAAGGCTTTGGACGAGATGCAAACCCGTTGCGATTACGCTAGTAGTGTACAAAATGCAAATGACAACGGTAGGATTAAAATGATAATTTAAATTACACTTCATTGGAAGCCTTTAATCAGGTGTTGATCTAACTGTATGCTGATGACACATCAACTAAACTAACGAACAAAGTGTTTATCAGCGCGCCATGTTTCATTGTGTCTTTATCCAATAGGGGGTGAGAAGACGAAACATGAATTTATCTTTCTCTTCTCCTGGTGACACAGCAGAAGTCGGGTTAAAGGAAGACACTCTTCCCAGAGCATTTGCGTAGGAATTTGTTCGAAAATAGTGGTGCTTTGGCTCAGAGGCAATTTCTATGTCATTGCTGTGGAACCCCAGGGTTCACCTCCTGGGCAAGATCGAATCCCAGATAGGGCGGTTGGTACCTTCCAGTGGACTCACCCCCCGCAGGAAGGTTCAGGGGGGTTGGTACGGTGATTTGGGTGGCGACTGCTACCCCTGTGATTCGGTAACGGATGAAAATGGATGGATGGATGGATGGGATTTGTTCGAAAATAAATTCTATGTGCATGTATACATTTGCAAGTGTGTACATTTTCTGGTCCTAAATATGAGAAAGACAGAAGGTTCGCTGACTGATAAACTGCCTACTGTTCTAAAAGTAAAAGTAAGCAAAACAAGTTGCCTACTGTTCTAAAAGTAAAAGTAAGTGAAAGTATCTTCAACAGAGTAACATACTTGATTTTTTAACTGAGCGATCTCCCTCTTGCTCGGCGTGTTGTTCTTCATGTGGTCCAGCAGGAGCTGTGCATCAGCCAGAAGAACTTTGGTTCTCTTCAGGTCTTTCTTCAGCTTCTTCTCCGTCTCCACATCCCTCTGAGTCATCTGCAGGACACAACAAGTCCCCTCTAGTACACACTGTAACAAATACGTTCTATACTTTTACATCAGTGGCATTATCAAATCGATGACCACCGTACCTGATCCTGGACATTCAGCACCTTGGACTCCAGCTCTCTCCTTTCACGCAGCACTTTCTGCTTGTCTTCATATTCCTCCTCCAGCTGCACCTCCATCTGTTTTAGCTGATGTATCAAAAAATGATTAAAATACCAAATCCATTTACGTTTAATAAAAAAACAATAATTATTATATTATATATATTATACATATAATTATTTCAGTGCTGTGGCACATCATGAATTCATTTTAGATTGGCGTTAGCCCTGCCTACTGAAATAATTAATTAAATGGTCAAATAACTATATATATATAAATTTATATTTATTTATTTATTTTTAATTCTTCCTCTGATTCTCAAGTTTCTGATGGTACCTGAACACACCTCGTGTAACAGCTGCAACTATGGCATGATGATGTGATAATCTGTGTAGTGTTATAAGGTTCACTTATATTGCTCTTTAAGCTAGTGTGTAGCTAGCATGTAGCTAACTTTATTTTCATCATAATGCTGAGACTATGCTGTTTTAAATTATTACTTTCCTTGTCAATAACAATAGCATAATAGCAACAATAGCATAATAATAGCAGTAGTAGTTAAGCAAGTATTACACATTCACAAAACTGAAGATTATTGACCCCATCCCAGGTATTGTCAGTTAGGCTCCACAGGTTTAATATCACTTATCCCTTCTTTTGACCAAACATGGATAGCATGGAACTGTTAAAAATGCAAGTAGTATTAATAGTGTACATAAAAACAATATTGCAGCAGTTAAGAAATAACGCTGCTTACTTTCTTGTTGCAGGACTGCCTGATCTCATCCACTTCTTCATCCTTGCTCTCAATTTCTCTAGAGTGGGTCTGCCGCTGCCGCTCCATCTCCATCTCAAGCCGCAGTTTCGCCTTGATGAATGATAGTGAGATACGACAACATTCAAATCTGAACATCAAAACATAACAGACATGACATAAAAACGACTTCATTAACAGGCCGTACCTGCTCCAGCATTTGGATGGTGCCGGCTTGTTCGTCCAGCTCCTCCTCTTGGTCTTTCACCTTAGCCTCAAGATCATGAAGCTGCTTCTTTAACTTGGCTAGCGACGCCTCATCCTTGGACTCCTGGGAGGTCAGATCATGTAACTCTGCCTCCAGCTGCTGGACCTTCGTACTTGTGGTGCACAATTCATCGTCCTTGTCCTGAAGACAAAGGAAAGGCTGTAAGTCCAATCCAGCTAGAGACAGGGAGGAATCAGGGAGGTAGGAGACATAACAGTCAACTTTGTTTGAAAAATGTAGCTTACCTGCAGCTGCTGGCGAAGGTTAAACAATTCACTTGTCATTGCGTCCTTTTCTCTAGCCAACTTCTCCCTCTGACCACGTTCCCTCTGAACCTCATCCTGAGCCCGGTTCTGCTCCAGGTCAAATCTATGACACCAGTGCAGCACAGTGTTTAGAACAACATTGGTTACACATATATATCACATGTATATCGTCAAAATATAATAATCTTCTCTTTAAATGACCTCATATTTGACTAAAATCTCGGCCTGTTTAGTTGAAGCCGACGCTGATATACTGGCAGGAATTGAAGAAAGACACTCACAAAAATTAATTATCTTTTTCTTACTACTTTTCATAGCCATCTGCTGCCACCTAGCAGATGAGTATTTAATCGCTCCGCCTTTCATGCTTTGACGTGCAAAGCAAAATTATATGCAATAAATAAATAATAGTTCTCAGCCCAATTGAGTGAAATTGGATAATATTCCACGGCGCACCTACTGATTTCTCACGGCACAGTGGTTGCGAAACACTGGGTTACAGGATGTTATTATTATTAATCATATTTTGACAATGATGGTGTGTCGTGATGCAGAACATATTAAAGAACTATACTGAGTTGGGATGATAGAAAAAGTATTTAGTTATTAATTAATTCATAATTAAGTCCATCTATGATTAACCCCAGGG